TAAGGTGTATTTTATGGCCCAGATGTGGTCTATTTTAGTGACTTGTTACATGTAAGTTTGAGAAAACTGTTTATTGGGCTGTTGTTAGGTAAAATAGTCTATTAACGTCAATTCGATCAAGTTGGTTGATAGTGTTATTCAGGTCAATGATATCCTTACTGATTTCCTGCCTGCTCAATCTGTAATTACTGAAAGAAGGATGTTGACGTCTCCAACTATAATACTAGATTTGTCTATTTCTCCTGTCAGTTCTCACTTTTTGCCTCATGTATTTTTACATTCTGTTGTTAGGTTCATATGCATTTAGGATTGTATGTCTTTTTGGAAAATTCACCTTTTTATCATTATGTAATGCTTCTCCTTATCTCTTATAATTTCTCTGGTTCTGAAGTCTGCTCTGTCTGAAATTAATGTAACTACTCTAGCTTTTTTTTGATTAGTGTTAGCATAATATATCCTTCTCTATCTATGAGTCCTTATATTTAAAGTGGGTTTCTTGTAGACAACATATAGTTGAGTCTTATTTTTATCCATTCTCACAATCTCTAACTTTTAATTTGTGTATTTACATCATTCACATATAAGTGATTATGATATATTTAGATTAATATCTACCATGTTTGTAACTGTTTTCTATTTGTTGCATTTGTTCTTTGTGCCTCACTCTTCTGGCTTCTCTGGTTTCACTGAGTGTTTTATATGATTCCATTTTATCTCCTTTCTTGGTATATCAATTATACTATTTTTGTTTTCAATTTTAGTGGTCATGCTAGAGTTTTCAATATACATTTACAACTGATCTGAGTCCACCTTCAAATAACACTATGCCATTTCATACATAGTCTAGGTACCTTATAACAAAATATATTACCAATTCCTTCTTCCCTTTGCTTATGACATTACTGTCATACATTTCACTTATCTACATTCTATAATTGCCCAACACATTGTTTTTGTTATTACTTGTAACAAAGGTACCTTTTAAGTAAACTAAAGACTGTATTTTACCTTCATTTATTTCTTCTCCAATGCTCTTCCTTTCTTTATGTGGGTCCAAATTTCTGGCCTGTATCATTTTTCTCCTCTTTGAAGAACTTCTTTTAACATTTTTTGCAAGGTTGGTCTACTGCTAATAAATTCCCTCAATTTTTATTTTTCTTATCAAGCTGCAGAATAAAAATATTGATAATATCACTACCAAAATAATTGCTGAAAATAGTTTTTTTATACATTCTCTTCTTTCTCCTTCCATTTAAAATAGTTTTAAATAGCTGTGTATTGCCTGAACAATATAGGCAATATGTTACATACTTTACATTCTCCCTTCAACCATCATTTAGTTTTTTTTTTTTTTTTGAGACAAAGTCTCACTTTGTTGCCTGGGCTAGAGTGCTGTGGCGTCAGCCTAGCTCACAGCAACCTCAAACTCCTGGGCTCAAGCAATCCTACTGCCTCAGCCTCCCAAGTAGCATGCCCGGCTAATTTTTTTTTTCTATATATTTTTAGCTGTCCAATTAATTTCTTTCTATTTTTGGTAGAGACGGAGTCTCGCTCTTGCTCAGGCTGGTTTCAAACTCCTGAGCTCAAACAATCCGCCCACCTCGGCCTCCCAGAGTGCTAGGATTACAGGCATGAGCCACCGCACCCGGCCCATCATTTAGTTTTAATTCTACAAGAAACTATATATTAAATACTTACCCGCAGTTCTTATGTTGATGTCCTTCTATTCCTTCTGGTTGTCTGAAACTTACTGTCTAGTAGATTCCTTAGGAAGAGTTCATGGGAATAATATGCCTTGAATTCTTACATATTGAAAACAGTTTGTCCACACATTTTATAACTGAAAGGAAGTTATGCTGTATATAAATCCTTGGTTCACATTTTCTTTCCTTGAGGATCTTAAATATATTGCTCCAATTTCCTCTAGCATAACGCATTGCTGCTGAAAAGTCTGGCAATAAGCTAATGTTTTCCTTTTATAAGACATTTGTTCTTTTCTCCTTAGATGCTGAAAGAATTTTTTTCTTTCTTTTAAGCCCAGTAATTTTCTAGAATATATCTTCATGTTGGTCATTCTGGATTGATATTCTCAGTATTCTGTTTGCTCTTTCAATATGTAGTATCAAATATATTCTTTTATTTTGGGAAAGATTTTTTTTGAATTAAAGTTTTCAGGCCGGGTGTGGTGGCTCATGCCTGTAATCCTAGCACTCTGGGAGGCCGAGGCGGGTGGATTGTTTGAGCTCAGGAGTTCAAGACCAGCCTGAACAAGAGAGAGACCCCATCTCTACTAAAAAAAATAGAAAGAAATGATCTGGACAACTAAAAACACATATAGAAAAAATTAGCTGGGCATAGTGGCACATGCCTATAGTCCCAGCTACTTGGGAAGCTGAGGCAGTAGGATTGCTTGAGCCCAGGAGTTTGAGGTTGCTGTGAGCTAGGCTGACGCCATGGCATTCACTCTAGCCAGGGCAACAGAGTGAGACTCTGTCTCAAAAAAATAAAAAATAAAATAAAATAAAGTTTTCAATATTTGTTCTTTTCCTCTGCTTTCCTTCTTCAGAGAACCCCCATTATCTGTATATTGAATCTGTTTTGCCTTATTTGTCATTTTCTCTTGAATCCTATTTATCTTTCTTTTTCTCTTTTTATAATTTTCCTTCTTCATACCTTCCGCTTCTCTTCAGGTATTGTTTGTTATGTTCATTTGCTCTTGTGTTCTTGTTTGCTCATGTGTTCCTTCGTGTTTAGTGTTCATTTCTAAGATGATTCTTTTATTTCTAAGCCTTTCTTGAATTTTGTCACCTTGTTTCCTAGTTTTTCAAATTCTTATTTATGTTATTTTTCATGACTTATACAAGTTTAAAATATTTTTAGCTTATTTTGAAATAACTGGCCACAGTTTTCATCTGCTTAGTGGGCGTATCTTAGGCTTTTACTGACTGTAGAAATGTCATCTGCTTCTCATTCTCTCTATTCTTTTTAAAATTCTTTTTAATGCTCATATTATACCATCCTTGACCAGTGGGAATCTCTTCAGATTGGCTTCGGTGTCCTTTTGACACAACCCAGAAGAATTTGATCATTTCCTTGCTCTCTGAGAAAAATTAGCCAGGCATGGTGGTGTGTGCCTCCTAGCTACCTGAGAGGTTGAGGTGGTAGGATCACTTGAGCCCAGAAATTCAAGGCTGCAGTGAGCTATGATGGCACCACTGCACTCCAGCCTGGGTGACAGAGCAAGACTCTATCTCAAAAAATAAATAAACAAAGATGGCAATCTGGATGTTGGTGTTCTCTTTACTACTAGGTTGTTATTGCTTTTAGTTTTTTTAGTGCATACAGGTAGGACATTTTTTTTTAGAGAAACAAAAATAAACCATGAGTTGTACTTATATATGCAATTCAACTTTAACATTGCAGGGCTATTATTTTAGTTATTTGATTTTATAATTTTACATATTTTCTTTTACTAAAAAAATCCCGGTTCTTAACAACATTAACATAAGTTCTTATTTGCTACAGTATACATGTCAAAATTTAAAATAATATTATTATTTCTTATGGTTTGTATTTCTGTATGGTTTGGGGTTTATCCTTGGGATATATCCCAAAAAGATAAACAGTCAGAATGTTATATTTTAAGTCACTTGAAATAATTATTTTTGTGTGTGCCACCAACTTGATAGGCAGTTAGGTTCCTTTTCTTATGGTTTGTATTTCTGTATGGTTTGGGGTTTATCCTTGGGATATATCCCAAAAAGATAAACAGTCAGAATGTTATATTTTAAGTCACTTGAAATAATTATTTTTGTGTGTGCCACCAACTTGATAGGCAGTTAGGTTCCTTTGCTTCTGTTTGCTTTCAGATTTTACAGATTGCTTTTTAAAATTATTTTTTATTTAATTTTGGCTTTTAATTATGTAAAACTTTGCATGATTCCTAAGTCAAAACTATTTTTAAACAGTTATATTCTACCCCTATTTCCACCACCTTATTCCTTCCCTCCCCAAATAGATAACCTTTCAAACATTTTTTGGTTTTGGTTTATGCTTCCACTGCATTCAGAGTTTCAGATGAGAAGCATACTATGGTGTGGTATAAGCAAGACTTTCCATCTAGTAGGAAGGATAGATCCCTGAGTGCCGGAGCTTCCTCTCACTTGGGTACATTGGGTTGTCGTGACTGAGACGGGGAGAGGGAGAGAGAGAGAGAGAAGGCACACACACTGTGTCACAAGAATAGCAAGGCTTCCTGAAGCTGTGAAGAATGGTGTTAAAATCAAAATGCTGAATCAATGATTATTTTAAATTTTAAAAAGTTTAGAAAACAAAGCCTGAGACACATCCAAACAGAAACAAGAGCACCCTCTATTGGCCTCTGCTGGTCTGCACATCATCTGTCCTACCTGGACTTGAAAAGGCCGGCGCCAGGGTTGCTGCACTGGGCAGATAGCTGGAGGGTCGCCCACTGTCCAATGAACAGGGAGGCTGCGAAGCTCGCACCACATTTACTCTCTGCTTCCCAGCATTCAGTCCTGTGCACTCTGAGACATATACTGACTCTAAATATCTGTTGCCGTATCTGGGGGAGAAAAATCCTTATTTTCCTTCCAGCATCTTTTCTCCTGGCATAGAAAAAGCAAGAGTCATGCTTTCTGCCATCACTTTGCCAAAGCTGTGACAGAAATGATACTGCCCTAACTCTTAAGGGGCATCTTTACTCAGATAGTATGATAATGTAGGGAGCAGTATGGGACAGTGTGAAAAGGTAGCATGCTTCTGGCTTCTACCACTTATTAGCTGTGTGTCCTTGGACACATTTCTTAGCCTCTGTGAGCCTCAGTTTTCTTATCTGAAAAATAAGAATGATAGCATCCAATGCCCAAGGCTGCTTTGAGAGGTATATGTAAAGCTCCTGATGCATGGTGCCAATGGAACTCAGTAAATAATAGCTACTATTATTATTATTACCTGGTCATTTCCTTTTCGTTTTGCAGGAAATTTGTGAGAATCCCCGATTTATCATTGGTGGAGCCAACAGAACTGACATCTGTCAAGGAGATCTAGGTAAGAAAGTCCCTCAGGTCATATCCTGCCAGATGATTAGGGGGGGATTAAAAAGTGTGAGCCCTTTCCAGGAGGTAAAGGGACAAAAATCCGTTCTTGCTTTAATGAATTTTTGGAAGATTTTTATAACAGTTACTTTATCCTCGTTTGTCTATGTGCTGGTGATCGCTTTGCTTCCTCCCACAGTTCTCACTGGCACTTTGCCTGTGCCACCGAGGTACACCCGCATTCTGTAGCCTCCCTTCTAGAGTCTCAAGGACACTTACATACCCCACTCAGCATGACTAAAGCGCTGCTTTTAACTGCACCCGTCTTTTTTAGAAGACAGCTCCATGGCTGTGTATCAAGCATGCTCCTCGAGCATGCAGACTCTATACGCACACATGGAGTGAATGCATTACCAAAAAGAGCACTCGTGACCTGAACTCTTGTTTAAATTGCGCCAGCACAGCTCCATATGAAAGGACTCTTTTAGCCAAAATGGTAATTGCCAGGTGGATGAGCACCCAATTTTCTGTGTGGTTGGGTAGCTTGGCTGTTCCATCCAACCCTCTCTCCCTTGGCCTCTTGCTCAGGGAGTGCTATCTTCAGCGTGGACTATGGGCAAGCTTCATGAAGTAAATTGGAGAGAATACCAACAGACACCATATGAAACTTGAGGAAAAGGGCACTCAAGACCAGATGGAAGGAATTTGGCTTATTTGGCTTCAGAAGGAGAAGCTAAGGAGAAATCAGTGGCTAGGGCGTGGTGGCTCACGCCTGTAATCCTAGCACTCTGGGAGGCTGAGGCAGGAGGTTTGCTTAAGGTCAGGGGTTGGTGACCAGCCTGAGCAAGAGCAAGACCCCATCTTTACTAAAAATAGAAAAATTAGCCAGGCATGGTGTGCACCTGTAGTCCCAGCTACTCAGGAGGCTGAGGCAGGAGGATCGTTTGCACCTAGGAGTTTGAGGTTGCTGTGAGCTAGGCTGACACCACTGCACTGTAGCCTGGGTAACAGAGCAAGACTCTGTCTCAAAAAGAAAAAAAAAAAAGAAAGAGAGAGAAGTCAGATATCTGGGTTCCTACACCTGAGGGAAAGCTGCCTGCAGAGCCCTGGGCAAACTAATAATCTGGGGCCTTCAAACAATACACTGTTTCCAAGGAGAGAGTGGTGGTTTCCAAGGAGAGGAAGGGGAGGGTGGCTCCAGGCCTGCCCTCGACACTCTCAGTGTTACATTTAATTTAACCTATCCTCCTAGAGGGCAGCTCTGTGACTGTCAGTGTACCAGGTATGCCCCTAGGCATTCATACACACACACACAGCAAATTGTTACCTCTGACTACATACAGTACTCTGTCGGAAAGGAGGTCTGGGGAATAAGAAAATGTTCCCATCTCCATCCATTGCCAGCAACGTCTTCATGTCCCTTATAGACTGGTTCCAGGGCAGCTGCCTAACTGGCCTTCCTTACAATACAAAGCTGCTTGGTCAATGGTTCTCTGATGCTCGGCCTTCACTGAGGCCAGAAGGGGAAATGGAAATGGTCAGAAGGGGAAATTGCCAAGGTGCGAGGCAGGGCGGATTTCAAGTATTATCACCTACTGCTCTATCTCCACTGAGGTCCAAAAAGGAAATGAGTTTATACTGCAGATGGAAGAATTTCCCACAGCCTTTAGGAAAATGTCCAGACACAAGGGAATAAGTTACCCTGTTGATTAGATTGTCAAGGAATTCCTGTCACAGTTTCCTTCCCTGGGTTGACACCTCTGTGAGGTCAAGTCTGGAAGTAGGACAGTGAGCAATAAGTGAATCCCTGTTCTTCAGAAAAGTGGAGTGTGTTGATGGGGATTGGGTCTTTTTCTGTTTGCTTGCAGGGGACTGCTGGTTTCTCGCAGCCATTGCCTGCCTGACCCTGAACAAGCGGCTCCTTTTCCGAGTCATACCCCACGATCAAAGTTTCGTCGAAAACTATGCAGGGATCTTCCACTTCCAGGTAAGGCAATGAGAGCGTAGCGAAGAGGGCCAGCTTCGGCCCACCTACCGCTAATCTCCTGGCCTTGACTTCCCAGAGGCTCCAGGAAAGATTCCACCCATGCCCCCAGCCGTGCCCATGGGCAGTGACCACCTTAAGGCTTCAAGCCTGTGAGGAAGCAGCTGTTTATCTCTCTGCCTTCCTAGTCTTCCCACCTCCTCCTCACCTGCCAGCCACTTTCTGCTATGTCCCAGAACAGCAGGAAGACATCCTGTGTGCTGGCCTGTGGGTCTATTTTTGCCTCTCCGGCTGTCTGGCTGTCCTGTCATTGCCTACAGCCCTTTTCAAGTAGGTCCTTAAGATATTAGCACTGGAACCCTTGAGGCCCTTCAGATTGTACATGACCCCTGGGCCACGAACTGCAGCCCCTGTGTACTTCCTTCTCTTTAAGGCGAGTCTATACCAAGTCTGGCACTCACCTCTTGTAGGCCCTGGAAGAAAATTCTGGTTAATCTGTGGATAAAGCTTCTGGTGTGGCCCAGAACTGAGTTTCATAGTTCAAATCAATTCAGCCACTGGAAATTTTCTGGGTCCAAATCATCTTGGCATAGAGCTAAAACCTGGTGCTGGACCAGAGCCAAAGTGAATTCTACATGTGGGGATCTAGTAGGTTCTGAGATTCTGAGGAATCAGTCAACAGAAGGCCTGAAGGCTCCTCTATGTCCCAGGATGGCCCAGATCATCAGCTGACTACCTGCTGGCCTTGTACTTGAGCACTGGACCCCTCAGAAAAGGTCTTTCTTCAGGCTCGGCTTCCGCATCCTGTGCCTTTGGAACGTGGGCAAGGCAGCCAGGCCCAGAAGTTTGTTTCTTCCTTTTGCCAGCAAACCATTGGTTTCCCTCTGATATTTGAAGGGTCTTATATCTAAAGGGCCACAAATTCAAAGACCAGATAGAGTCCTGTCCTCTTTTCAATGAGGGAGAAAGTGCCATTGGAAAAGAGATTGAAGTACACATGGCCTTCTTCAGTTCAAACTGATTTCTTCAAAAACAAACAACACCCAGAATTGAAATAACTGGACAATGTTACTGCTGTAGCCAGAGTATATTCTGGGTCACTTTCCTCCATTTCAGGCCTGTTCACTTTGTCATCAGGAAACACATAAATCAATACAGCACCTTCACTTAGACTGGTAGTTCTCAATCCTGGCTGCACATTGGAATCATCCAGAATACCTAGAAATACTGACACCCAGGCCCTGTCCAGACCTCCTGAGCAGGGAAATGAAAATCTCAAGTCCTGAGATATTCATGGAGCAATTACTGTACCCAGCAGGGGGCCGGACTCTGTGGAAGAGACAAAGTAGTATATAACTCACTTCCTGCACTCAAAAAGCTCCCAGTTAGAGACAGATTCACACACCCCAAGCCCAGAATAGGATGAATAAGCCCCAAGACGCAGAGCCTAGGAAACTGTACTGTTTATAGAGATCAGAGAAACCCGTGAGGAATGAGGGAGTAAGGATATGTTTCCTAACGGTAATCTGAGGATACGTCTCTGTGCTTGATGCTTCTGTGCAGTTCTGGCGCTATGGAGACTGGGTGGACGTGGTTATTGATGACTGTTTGCCAACGTACAACAATCAACTGGTTTTCACCAAATCCAACCACCGCAATGAGTTCTGGAGTGCTCTGCTGGAGAAGGCTTATGCTAAGTAAGGCAACACTTTAGAATGTGAGGCAGGACTAGAGGTAAGGAAGTGGGTTGCACAATCCAGCCGAGGTCTTCCTCACAGGAGGATGCATACATGTCTGTGTACATGCACATGTGCAGGTGTTCACCTGTGACCCAAAGTCAGAGAAGATAAGTTCTAGACAACAATAGCTCTAACTAAAAACACTAAGTTTAAGAGTAGAAGTGAATATTTGTGTAGGAAAGCTTTAGCTTTAGCTTCCCATAGCGAGCTCTTTAATTCTGCCTTCATGGTGTCATTGCAAATCTTGGATCAGAGCATTATACTTCTGGAGCTCAGACCCCAGGGACTTGCTTGGCTCAACCTCTTGAGCTTGTTAGAATATCCATAAAGCCATGTTGTCTCTTAACTTTAAGCTTCACCCAGCTGCTAATGACTTTAATACAGCCCTACCTCAAGGTTCAGAACAGAGTGGAAAGAAAACTATCAGGAAGTGGGAATAGCTAAGTTTCAATCCCAGAGCTTCTGGCTCTCTGTGGCCTTGGGTACCAGCGGGTGTCACTCAGCCTCTTGAGCTCAGTTTCTTCATTGTGAAGAAAGGGAATCATTCTCCCCAGCCCATTAGCTCACAGAGTTGCTGGGGAATTGATGAGAGAACATCACAGGACCCAGGAGTAAAGTTCTGGGCTATGTTTCCCGGAACTCCGTGACCCCACCTTGGTCATCCTCTCTCCAAGGCTCCATGGTTCCTATGAAGCTCTGAAAGGTGGGAACACCACAGAGGCCATGGAGGACTTCACAGGAGGGGTGACAGAGTTTTTTGAGATCAGAGATGCTCCCAGCGACATGTACAAGATCATGAAGAAAGCCATCGAGAGAGGCTCCCTCATGGGCTGCTCCATTGATGTAAGTCTGGGGTGTGGGGTACAGGGCAGGAAGCAGCCAAGGACCGGGGAGCCTTTTACCCAGTGAATGGCAGCAGTGCTCTGTTCTTCTTGAACAGAGTGAATGTTTCATTGTAGGAAGCAGGAACTGGCTCTGGATTTTGAACACTGGGAATTTGTCAAGGGAGACTAGTTCTTGGGGATTTTCAATAAAGAAATTGGGCAAGGACGTTCCAAGCCTTGGAATTTAGGCGGAAATAGGCCCAGAGGCCTATGTTACTGGCCTATGTTACTTGTTGGTGCTCCTCAGTCCCAGCATGCCCCCATTATGCCAGCCACATGCTGGGCTGTGGACCTGAGAAAGCCTTCCAATCACTGGGCTTTGACCACATCCCCTGCTTGGGACATGGACTTTGTGTTGTTATCTGAGAGAAGTTCAGCCCACAATCCCCTTCTCAGTACAACAAGGTGGTATGAACCGAGACAGGAGCCAAGGCTAAGGAGATGGCCAAGGGTGGCCAGGCCTCCTGAGTTTCAGGAGACATGCCTTCACTGAGGGCTGCTCAGGGTACGATAGTTTTGGCAATTTCCATGGCAGAGAAAGGGGCCTGAGCTGAATTCCTGCTCCTTCCTCTCCCAGCACTCCCCATGGATAGGAAAGCTTGGAAGATCAGTTAGCAAGCAACACCATGGATAAACTTTTTTTTTTCTGTATCATTTTTCTCCATCTTTTTTCCATTCATGCTCTATTGATCTTTCCTCTTTTCCTTTGTCTGTCCCCTCCCTTTTTTCTCTCTCCTTCCCTTTCTACCCTCCTTTGTTTGCTCTCTCTCCCTCTTCTGGGTTGTCCCCCGCCTTCCTTGTCGGGCCTCAGGATGGCACGAACATGACCTATGGAACCTCTCCTTCTGGTCTGAACATGGGGGAGTTGATTGAACGGATGGTGAGGAATATGGATAACTCGCTGCTCAGGGACTCAGACCTCGACCCCAGAGGCTCAGATGACAGACCGACCCGGGTGTGTACACCTCCAGTTGTCAAAACTGACCATCCCTCCAACCTGCATGACCTGGCCTTGTTGCTGTCAGACTCTCCTCAGCAGCCAGTGCCTCACCCACAGACCCCGGCCCGGGGCCTTCCAAGGGTCTGGGATGGAATAACTTGCTTGTTCCAAGGCTCCTGAAGTAGGTGGAAGAGCCGGGATTTGAAGGGACTCTCAGTGGGAGTTTCTTCATATTTCATGGTCTAGGCAGTTTCTCTGATAACAAGTTAATGGGCAGAAATATAAGAGAGACTTAATTTATTTAAAAATATTTTTCCTCTTCCAACTTATTCATTCAACACTTATTTTTGAGCTCTCACTATGTACCAGGCACTCTGCTAACAAACAAAGCAAGTTCTCTCCCCTTAGTGAAAACAGCAAAATCTTTCCCCTCACAGAGCTTAAATTCCTGTACTTCCAGAAGTAAGACGTGTTCACTGGAGAATACTGAGCCACAGAGAAAAACAGAGGAAAATTTAACCTGTATTTTCCCCAGCTAAAGATAATCACTCCTAACATTGGGTATATGCCCTTCCAGGATTTTTCTATGTACATACTTAATCTATATTTTTATTTTTAAAATGTTGTCATACTATATGTACCTGTTTGCAGCCTGCCTTTTTCAGACAGGATCAGGCGCGTTCAGGGCGGTGTGGCCGTAGACTAGCCTGCCTTTTTCAGTTAGTTTTATATTCTTTTTTTTTTTTTTTTT